TTTTGTACAAATCAATCTAGTTGCATATCGTTTACATCTACTGGAATCAATAAAAATCCATCTAGTATTCCACGTGTTTCTTCTTGAACCATACAAGACACTAGACATACCAAGAAGAAGACAAGCTCCACCTCTTCTTGTAGAAGTGGACAATAATGAAGAGTTTGAAGTGGAAGAAGTCTTAGATTTAAGGCGGCGTCGAAATAAATTGGAATATCTTGTCCATTGGCACGAATATGATATTAGTGAATGTACATAGGAGCCAATAAAGAATCTTAGAAATGCAACAAAGGTAGTGGAGGCTTTTCATAGACAACATCCATCAAAATCAAGATGAAAACTTTTTTTATAAAAGAAACAAGATCTAGGCAAGATAACATTCTACTTTCAATCCTTGTTTGTAGCTTCTGTGTAGTTGTGACGCTTAGGAGATAGAGAACCAATAACTAGTAGATTCGACTCAAGAGCCTTCGTTTGTTGACCTACCAGATGAGACATTACGATTGTCTCAATCTTCAAGATGACGCAATTGAGATGAAGATCTTCAAGAACGACATGTTCTTCTTTAAATAGATGGCAAGATATAATGTGTTTGGTATCATGACTTGGGAAGGGACTCCCGATGTTTGGTGATTTTATTAGAGGTAAGAACAACTCTTGATGGTGTTTCAAATGTTTTATTTGAAGGAAGTTATGAAGGCCTCAACAATAATCAAATAACTGGGTGGTCTTCCCGCCCTGGTATGGGACACTACCGATAGTTGAGAGGCCCTATCAATCATCTTCGAAGAGAATAAAGATCAGAGTATGTGGCAAATATAATTCATCACATCATAGATTTTCTCAACATATGATTACTGCTCCTCATGGAACTCGTCCCTAGAAGGGGAGGTAATGTCACAAACATACACATGTAAGCTAATAATTACATATATAAATAGGTAGAAGTAAGTAAAAATAAATAAAAGTAAATTAATTCTATAATATTTGATATAGAAGCTTCTTAGAAGCTTTATAGATACTGCTTTGACTTTATATGTATCTTTAATTGACTTTTTGGATTAGAGACATGGTCAACAAGTTGGCCATGTGCCACACATGTTGTTAGCTTGAAGATCAAGCTAACTATGTGGCCCACACATAGAAAAACTTGCCTTGTAGTCAAGGCATATGTCCTACAAAGTCAACACATATTGGAGGTCCTACAGAACGTCACCACGTAGCCCCTAGTTAGATAGTATATATAGAGACAAGAGTGAAGCCCTCTTCACTCTTGTCAATTCCTTTCTTGCTTCCAGTCTAGTTTCAAGGATCTCTAATTTTCTTGGCTTTTGGTAATAGCCATTCCAGTTTCTTTATATATATATATATATATATATATATATATATATATATATATATATATTAAGTTATTTCTTTTTTTTCATCTTTCTATGAGAGAAGTCTCACTTGTTTATTTGTCTTTATCATATTCTAGTCCTTGACACATATTTATCAAAGAAAGATGGAAAAAAATTATAATGATAAATATGTATATTTAAGAAGAAAATAGAATGAATATTGCCTAAGACTAAGAAAATAGAAACTCTTGAAACTAAATTATAAGTAAGAAAGAAATTAATAAGAATGAAGAAGGTCTCATTCTTATCTCTATATATACTATTTTATTAGGAGTTATGTGACAATGTATTATAAAACCTTCAATACATATCCAACTTGCAAGACATGTGTCTATTTTGTAAAGAAAGTTTCTTATATGTATACCATGTGTCCAACTTATACCACAAGTATCCAGCATATACAACATATGACCAATTTATTGGCAAAGTTTTTAACCTATCAATTACCTATTGACACATTGTCATGATATAATATGGCTAATAAATGAAAATATATATATATATATATATATATATATATATATATATTATAGAAGATTTTATTTTAGAATATTATAGCAAATTATCTTAGAAATATAGATAATAGTTGAAAAAATAATAAAACTAAAAGGTGTTAATGCTGTCTTTTTGCAAAATAAGCTTCTATTTATCTTGTATGGCTATAAATAAGGAAAAATAAAGTAGATAGAGAAATTAAATGATATAGGCATGTATAAGAAGTTAAAAACAGATTTTAGCAAAATTTACCTTAAGAAGCCAAGAATGGATAGTTAGATAGGACCATTATCAACATGGATTAATATTAGACTCTGAGGCATAAAACCATGCACCATGATGATTTTGAGATTTTTTGGTAGATTAAAAAGTGAGACTTGAGAAAAAACTTGAAGAAAATTTTTTGGGCATTAGTTTTATATCAATTGAACCAATATTGAGTTTTTGAGGGATTTTCAAAGTTAGTGATGTTTTTTGTGAGATTAGGATTTGAAAAATAAAATTATGTTTACAAATTTGAAGATTTCTTGAGTTTTGAGATGTGTATATTAATGAATTTTGGATAATGTGTTGCTATGCTAGTTGTGAATGTATATACAAATTTTGAAGCCAATCAAATAACTAGATCAAAGCATGTGAAGATTTTTGTGGGTTGAGGTCTCAAAAATTGGAGTTTGAAGGTTAGTGAGTGTTTCTAAGATCTTCAACACTTTGTTGATTGGATTAAAGTGATTTTTTTTTATAGATATTAGACTTGATTTTTAATGATTAAGTAAAATTTTAGAGCAATTCAATGATTCAAGAAGGAGATATTAGCACTAGAAGTTCAACATTCAGATTGGAGTAGGAGGGTGCCCAACACCCAATTGGATTATCTTGAATTTTTCTTAATTAGTAAGTGAAATTGATTTCATCTTTTTTGTGCTTATTTTTAACTAAGACATTAAGAAGTGTGGTAATTTTGAATTAATATCAATTTTTTGATCATTAGTTGTTGAGATTTTATTTTGTTATAGGATTTGTTAAGTGTTTGTTTAAGATTTAGGATTTGATTAGGATTTAGTTTAGAATTTGGTTAAGATTTAACTAGAATTTCAATTTAGATTGTATTAAGATTTTTATCTTTAGTATTTCTTTAGGATTATTTATATTTCTTTTGTAACTTTTTTTAAATTTATTTCAATAGAATAAAATTTTATTAGATTATTAGGAATTACTTGAAGTTTATTAAGGCTCTATTAGACTTAGTAGAATTGTTGTTGCATTAACACTTACCTTTCACAACTAGGTACCAAGTGCATTCTCAAGCAAGAATACTCATAATACAATAACGTGTAAAAGAAAATCCATGTCTATGAAGCTTGTAAGAATCTTCTCCACAATAAATTATCAAATTTACTTACTTTTATTTACTTCTATATACACATTATCTAAATAATTTTTAGAATAAATATATATGACTTTGATAATAATGAAGAGAGGCAAGTGGGGCAGTACGTCTCTCCTTATTGATTAAGTAGAAGTTAACTATTGCCAAAGCCTCATTTTCACAGAAAGTTAGACCAAGCCTTACAAACCCAAATGAATGGAAAAAGGCAAGATTACTTCTTCCTCTAAATTGTCTCTTTTTATGAAGCAAAAATAGTAAGGTTGTAAGGTTCAATCCAAATCTACCTATTCAAAGCTTTGTCTTGCATGGAGTTGCAAATTTCTACCTAACCAATAGTGGTAAGCCTTTAATAGTATAGAAATTAGGCATTTTTTTATTATGAAATTTATTATATAAAATTTTTATATTTTTGTCCAAATTTTAATAAAAAAAAATTAAACAATAAATTTTGGCACTTGTTAAAATAATTTTGTTTATTAAACAAATGTATGGTACCTATATGAATGACAAGGTTTATTTATGGTACCAATTGGATATATTTTCTAACCTTGCTCAAAATCACCTTGCATAATTTAAAGAATATCATATCAAAAAGAATTTATTTTTTTATTCTCTTTATTCCACTTTATTATATACAATCTTTTGGTCAGCTTTATTACCTTTAGTTTATAAGATCCACTTTATTACCTTTAGTTTATATAGAAGAAAGAATTTACTGTGATCTTTAAGAAAATATTATATATTATTCTCCCAGTAATTTGAAATTAAAAAACATCATGCTCTCATTTTGCAAAATAAAGTAGAAACTTCAGTAATCGAACTCATTCCTTTAAGAAACTTCTCAATATGAGCCTGCTACTTGTTTCAGACACTTGTTTCAGCTGAAGCTATAAAAGAGCAAATCGTTTACAAGTGATCTCTGTGGTGTCGTGGCAGTCTCGACCATATTTGTTGAGTAAGATTGGTGATAATATTACGCAGAAGCTTTTGGTCTTTTACATGTCTATGTAATTGTGTTTTCCTCATATTCATCAAACTGGCCTCAATTATTCAACGATGTACATTGCAGGATGAGTAGAACAATGGTATCAGAATTACAGTAAACCTGCATGAGACCTGTGTTCAGTAAGAGGAGAGTGCTCTCACATGCATTCTCTTCTTCAAGTACATTTACTGTGTAGCTGTACAATTTGATGTATAATTAGTGGTTCCATTAGTCATGAATTTTTAACAAATTTCTTCTGCCACCTGCTATTACGTTGATATTGTATGTCTACTACCTTTTCGACTTGATGTAGATCAGTATATTATCCATGCTGGAGGAGAGACTGGGAGCTCTGATGAAGGCTCTAGCTTTCCTTGCTCTGCAGAATATCTATCTTTGAAAGTTATTCTACAATTTTGAAAGGTACATATGGCTTTCACCCTAAACTCAACCCTAAACCTCAGAATGTAACTCTCTTAGCTCTGAAATGTCTGCTAAGTGATGTGTTTCGTTTGGAGTCACAAGTAATCAACACGATTTGATCACGTTTTTTGAAGTTGTGATGTACACTGATATAGTTCAGGGAACTTGCAGAGAGGGACAGATCTTTCCATTTTTCTCTTAATGCACCAAAATCATTTCAGTGATTTCGTTGAAAATAGTTGAGAATAGTTACACATACATAAATTAGAGACAACAGATCCCATACATAGCTTGCTGAGACAAGACATTTTTCTAAATGTTAAGTCACCATTTAATAAAGTACATATACAATTGGAGATGCAGTTACAATGTTGAAGGTGGCAGGTTTTTTGATTCCTATAGTTTGACTCACTCTCTTTATCACTGTCGTACACTGAAGTTTGGATTCCGTCTAGATTTGTCGAGTATGTTCAAATTAATTGAGGATGTCTGGAACCTTCGTCATCACTGTGCACTCATCATTCATGTCAATTCAGGATTATATCTGATTACCTTTTGCTACAATTCATGAGTACTAAGTTTCTACAGATGCGACAAATGACTGCCTAATTAGACGTTTTACACGAACAAAAAACAAAACTCAAGGTTGAGAGAGGGTCGAGAGCCGCTGCTGGGTAGCGTACCCTTCCAATCCATCAACGCCTGGTCACATACATTTTCACGCCGCGCTGCATAGACAATGTGGCCATGGTGCGATACTTTACGGGGTGGCCCGGCGCCAATTCAAACTTGAAAAACCGGCACAAAAGTGCAGAAGCCATCTTCATTTGCAGGTATGCCGAGTCCTTCCCCAGGCAGATCCGAGGGCCAGCCTGATGAAGCAAACATCCACCGAAAATACAAGCGTTTAACTTCAATACACAACTACCATGAAGAGGTTGCGTTATGCAGACATGAATTAAGATTCTACATCAGTGTGTGAATCTGGGGAGCGAGAATTAAGTGAAGACCTGGAATGCACTGAATTTGAATGGCGACAAAGGGGTGAACACGCCGTCCTTGATCCAGCGCTCAGGCCGGAAATCTTCGGCATCCTCACCCCAAATGTCCTTCATCCGGCCCTGGGAATATGGAACGTACGTGATTAGCCCTCCTTTCTTCAACACTGTCCCGTCCGGAAGAACATCATCAGCTAATATCCCTTTTGGATCCTGCGTAAATGCCACACAAATTCGTTTCAAGCAAACCTAGTTTGCGTCGCAGCGATTTTCTTTAAGATATTGCAACTATTGTTTGATCATAGGAATGAATTTTAGCCACTTTTAAGGTGTATTGGCACCTGGGGTACAGCTGGGTAGAGCCGGATGGTCTCCGTGATGGCGGCATGAAGATATTGTAGCTTCAGGAGAACGTCATATGTCAGTTGGGTTGCATATTCTGACATCTCCTGGTTCAGAGATTGGCTCTTATTAACGTTTGCATCATCATCGAGAGCATGAAGCTCGTCATAAATCTTGTCGGCAACGCGAGGGTGGTTCCCCAACAGGTAAAAGAACCACGACAACGTTGCTGCCGTTGTATCTCTCCCTGTAATCACAGTTTGATTGCAATTTAAAGCCGTATCTCAAGGCTCAGAGACATTAAGTTATGTAAACAACAGATTCATCACTGCTAGACATAAATCTCGGCTCGGGACCAATTTGTGAGTTTGAGGCTGCACACAACGGACAATGCCTCTGATAATTGAGTCCTTCTTTAAAGTAAGGTGCTCACCCGCAATGATAAAATTGAGGATGATATCTCGTAGAGTCTTATCAGTGAAATTCTGCTCAGGGTCTTCTCCCAATAAGATGAAACGGGACAATAGATCGGCTTTCTGCACTTACAAGGATGATGTCTGCCAATTACATAGTAGTATTGCTATGGAATCCGATACCAGGTTAATTTGCAGACGTGTATGTTGGTCAATAAATTTTGAATAGATGAGAAACGAATGATGGGGCTTAGAAAAAAAAACCCTTACCTTGTTTTCGCCCTCGGTCGACTGCAGCTCCACACGGCGAGTCCGGATGACATTGTACGTGAAATCGTCTACCACCTTTACGCTGCGTGACAACACCGCCTCGTTGCCAATATTGAACAACTGCTTCAGACGCCAGAAGGGATCGAAAAACCGGTACGTCACTGCTTCATTCGCGTTGTCGAAATTCGACGCGAATGGTATTGCTGGTAACGAGGGAGACAGTGTTCCGATCTCCACGCCAAAACCGACTTTGCAGATGCCTTCCAGCGTCAATCGCATGAAAAGGTCCTGCAGGGGATGATCATGCACGACCTTCAAAACCATTCAAACCATGCAGTGGACAACCCTGCGGCGGCCATAGCCACAACACAACAAGATCCGATCAGCAACTGAAAGGACAAACAACCCACCTGCATGTCAACAGCATTATGCGTTTGGCTTGCTCCTACGACAATGTCCCCAACCTTGAGCGCGTTCTCCCGGAAGATCACAGTGCTGTAGTCGCGGAGAACCCGAGACGCGAATTCGAAGCTCGCTGTCTTCCTCTGCTGGCGCCACACCTCCCCGTCGGCATTGAAAATACCATCGCCGAGTAGGGTTTCCATGTTCTTATGGTAAAGGTCTCCCTGCATATGAGTGCCACACGATCGCGTGTCAAACTCCGTTTCTAGCACCCATTGATTGAGTCCGTTCATCAATATACATCAAGCTAGGCGGATCCCCCAAGACGGCTCCTACCTTGGGGAAGTTTGCGAAGTTGGTCTTGAGGATGTACTCAATGTTCTTGGGATCGACAGTGTAAGTGTACATGGTCCCCGGAAACTTGACCCGAAAGGTTTTGATCCCTTTCTGAAAATATGACAAGACCCAGTCATGAAGGTCGTCGAAGTTTCGAATTGTCTCTACTGCCGCCCCAATGACGGGCCACTCTTTGGGCGCTAACCGGTGCCGCTGCTGCCAACGGAAAATCCACAACCATGACAATGTGGCTATGATCACAAACGTGACTGCAGATTCAGTACTGAAAGGAACGCTGATCAATGCCTCCATCCCTGTCACAAAATTGGGAAAATTCGCCAGTCCTCAGCACGCCGAAATAAACTAATGCGCTCAAATCTCGACAATGACATCGTCTCACAAGCAGATTTCAACATTTTCCGCTGCTCTCAAAAAAGTGTAATTCCACATGCTGAAAAATCAGACCATTTTTAGAGCAGCTTTCCAAAAAACATGAAACGCAAAAATCATGAGAACGTCCATGACTTCCAATGGTTCATAACAAGGATCTCTCGAGATCTACTCCAACGGGATACAACATCAACGAGCTTCCGTCGACCACTCATGAATTTGCTACGGTGACACACGACGACGACGACGAACTCTAGAAACACCGCGAGGAAATCATCGGCTCCACCATCACCGCGGCAACAGCCAGAACGCTATCACTCTGATTTCCCAACTCCTTTACAAAGGAACGGGACGCTCATCACCTATTCTGCATGAACGTCGCTTGTTCTGATCCTCCACAACGCTCCTCGGAAGTGCACGCTCCAAGATCTCACCCACCTTGTGGCAAATCGTCTCAAGGACGCACCCACGCACGCGCGCAGTCGGTAAGCGACCGAGAAGACCCAACTATATACACTCACAACAGGAGACAGCTTCCGTAGCTACAACTCACAGCCTGCCACATGCACCCGATCTCCGGACCTTGTCAAGCGCTACGCAGCACCAGTGCCCTTATCATGTGCATTGAAGACTACGCGCACACACATCCACACACACACATCTATATATATATATATATATGTGCGCACCTTGGTAGCTACGGCCACACTTGAACGGATGGTTTTCCACTGCGGGTGGCACTAAAAACGTTCCAGGTTCGCACCATGTGAGGGGCAATCCAGGAGAGAGCCAAAAGCATGTGATTGCGTGTGGTTACATGAAGGCGCTGGGGGAGTGGAAGGCGGCGAGCTGGTGAGGAATTAGTTCAGACTAGTGACCGGCGATGCGGTGCGAGAAGGCTGATAAGCTGCTGCTGCTTCACCCTCCTTCAGCTTCGTGGGCGTGGAGCTCACCCACCAGGCTCCTCCTCATCCACCAGCCCCTCTTCACCACCACCACCACCATCGCCCCCACTTCTTCACCTTCCTCCAACAAAAACCCGAATTCATCACCTTCCTCCTCCAACAAAAACCGGAATTCATCACCTTCCTCCATACAACTACACATCACCAAATACTCATCTTCTCTTTCTTGGTGTTGTTTACACAATGCCTGCTTGAACGACATCTTGTGGGCATGATTCTGATCCTCTGAACTGAGCTTTCCACACCCGTTTCACCGCTACCAGTCGTTCATACTATTTCTGGTTTCCTGTTGAGATTTTTATCATGTTTGATAATAATGTTAGTATCTCATGTGGTGTTTAATCTTTCGGTTTTTTTTTAGTGGCTGCAACTTGGGCGTGTCAGGACATATTCCTCGTCCTCTTATTTGTTTGACTCTTTATTTGTTTGTTGTGTGTTTTGTTTTTAGTATAATCTTCAATTATATCCTTACATTTTCATGCATAAGTACAAGGATTACAAATAGTCCAAACTTGTATGCTATTTTACGTTTATAGATCTACAACAAACATTTGTAATGATATGCAATTCACTATTTGCTTTATTCAACTGTTTTCTTTTTTTTCAATTTTTTTCACTATTTGCTTATATTGTTTGTTAATTAGGATATTGACTTCCCAAAGTAGAGGAGTGTGTAAGGGTCAAAAAGTGACTTTCACCATGTTTGTGTTTTTGAAACAAACAACGTGAGCTAAGGCTGGCCTCAACCCCATGGACAATGCTGGTGTGAGTGGTAAAGAGGCACCATAGTTGTCATAGAAGTTAGAGTTGTGCAAGGGCATGACTTTGTGGCCTAAATTGCTACTAAGTAATTTTCCACTACATCAAGCCACACCCAGAAGTAACTCAAATGCTTTGTACGGCAGATTTCAGCCTTGCCCCGCATAGTCTGGGTTTGGACTAAAGGAAGATTTTTCAGAGTTACCTAACAATTTTGCTTGGGCTTTTACTATTTGCTTTTATGTATGACATACAATTGACTCTGAATTGTACATGATGACTCAAATAAGGACTGTATAAATAATCTTAGAAGAACATAAAAAATAATTTTAAAGAATTTGTTATGATTCAAAAAAGAACTCTTAAAAAGATTTTAGAAGAATATAAAATACAATTATAAATCATAAGTAATGATTAAAATAAGGACTTTGTAAATGACTCTAAGAATATATAAAATATAACATAAATATTATAAACTATTCAATGAATATTAATTTATTAAAAGACAATAAAAGGCTATTAAAATCTTTTGAAGATTTAGAAAATATAAAATAATATATTTTGTGCAATTTTTTTAAAATGATATTTTTTAAAATTATAATAAATTAAAATTTAATTAAGAATAATATATTTTTTACATAAAATAATTTGTACAAAGTAACTTTTTTATTTTTTTATGATGTTAGTTTTGCTTTCAAAAATAAATCTTGTAAATTATTTTAGTATATCACTATTATTTATGTTTGTTAAAAAAATTAAGAAAAATCATAAATAATTTTAATATTAATTTCTTAAATCTTGATTAATAGATAGATAAGTGTAATTAATTTTAAAGATAATTTCAAATTTTGTATATTAAAAAAATCATATTTACTACTAAATTCAAATATGATATCTTTAGCCATCATTTCAAAGACATGCTCTTGTTTGTTAACTTCTATCCCATCCATTCTTTTTATAATTTGTAAAAAGTGAGCATTTTTTGAATATCTTTGTGAGATATTTATTTATATCAATATAAAAAGAAAAAAATATATATATATATCAAAATCTCAAATTTATTGAGTTTTTATTATGAAAAAGGTTTAAAACATTGGAATTGATTGAATATTTTGAAGTGTTTATTGAAGAACAAGCACTTTGAAGACACAACACTTAACATTAGCAAGGTTGCATACAAAGAGAGTATGGAATAAGATGTCTCTCACTTCCTATACCCATTACTTATAGATAGTGGTTGCTACCCTAAAAGACAACTTCCACTCTTTAACTTTTATACATATGGCCTTAGGATCCTTTTGGCATCTCACGAGCCTCGAGGGTATCCTATGACACATACTAATGACTCATACTTAGTCTTTGGATATTTCCTTGTTAATACTTTATCCTTTTGACTTTGACTCTTACTCCATGACTTCGTCCTATATCTATTAGATGCCCTTCTTATATACCAAGAGTCAAACCTTTGACCACTAGCAACTTACTTTAGTTAATATCTTCTATAAGGTAACTTATTCTACTTTTACTTTAACACTCTCACTTTGTTATTGGTCAAATAGCTTTTAATCCTAATATCTTTGTCAACATGTGGTGTCTATCTTTTACTAATGCCTTTGTCAACAAATCAGCAAGCATTTCCTCCATTGCATAATACTTCATATCAATCACTCCCATTTCAATCTTCTCTCTTATAAAGTGATGTTGAATATCAATGTGCTTAGTCCTTGAATGATGCTTTGGATTCTTTGCAAATACAAGACATCCTTAATTGTCACACTTCATTGGAGTTGCTTCCATTTGTACATCTCCAATGTCCTCCAAAAGTTGTCTCAACCATATTGCCTCCATTGCACCATGGCTTGCTACCATGTACTCCGCCTCCATTGTTGACCTTGCAATGGTTGGTTGTCTCTTGCAATTCCATGAAATTAGTCCCACTCCAACAAAAAACACATAGCCCATTGTTGACCTTCTATCATTTGCATCTGCAGCCCAATCCGCATTATAATAACCATGCAAACTAATGTTATTACCTCCAAGGCATAATTTGAAGTTCAAAGTACTTTTTAAGTACCTCATGATCCTTTTGATGGTTGTCCAATAGATTGGTCCAACCTTTGACATGTATTGGCTCACAATACTCACCGCATATGCAAGATCTACCCTTGTGTCAACCATTGCATATATAAGTGAGTCCACTGTTGTCTTCTATGGAACACCTTGCATTTGACCTTCAACTTCAGCAAACTCTTCATCCGTGAGCTTCATCAACTTCAAGTTTGCCTCCAATGGTGTTCCAATTGGCTTATACTCGTCCATGTTGAATCGTTTTAATACTTCTTCAATGTATTTACTTTGACTCATTGTAATGGTCTTCTTAGTATGATCTCTTACAAACTCCACTCATAAACAATAGTGAACATCTCTCAAATCACTCATTTTATACTTCTTTTCTAACTTTGCCTTCAACCAATCCATCATCTTCAATGTATTGGTTATGATGAACAAATCATCAACACAGAGGATGACAATCAATATGAACATATTTGATTACATCACATATAAGGAATGATCAGCCTCACTCTTTACAAATCCTTCATTCACAAAGAATGTATCAATACGTTGGTACCATACCCTTGGTGATTGCTTTAGCCCATACAAAGATTTCTTCAACTTACAAATAAGGTGTTATTTATCTTCTTCAATAAATCCTTGAGGTTGCTCCATGTAGATGTCTTTTTCCAAACTTCCATTCAAGAAAGCCGTCTTCACATCCATTTGATGCATCTCCAAGTTCCATGCTACCTTAATTGCCACAAAGGTTCTAATGGTGGTAAATTTGGCCATGGGAGCAAATGTCTCATTGAAATTCACACTAGCAACTTGTGAGTAGCCTTTAGCAACCAATCTAGACTTGTATCTCATAATATTATCCATTGCATTCTTTTTGGTTCTAAACACCCACTTACAACCAATTAAAGATCGATTTTCTGGAAGTTGAATCAATTTCCATGTTCCATTGTCCATGAGTGATTTGTACTCTTCTTCCATAGCATTCTCCCACTTCAATGCATCCGTGGACTTCATTGTATCACATACACTCAATGGATCAACAAGAAGTGCAACATTGGTATATTCTTCACTTATTTGAGGAAAGATGTGATTCTTCTACCATTTACCAGGTATTTTTTTTTCTCTGAAAAAATATCTCCTTTCATTTGAAGAAGACCCTTCTTCTTGCATTCCATCCTTCTTCTTCCTCAATGCTTGTCTTTTCTCACTCAAAGATTGATATTCTTCATCATCATCATCACCTTCAATATCTTCATTGTCTTCATTGTTAGTTCTAGCAATTGAAGTCACACTATGATTTACCTTCTTTGGCACTTGATCTTAACTTCTATTTCTTCCATCCTCATTGTCATCATCATCTTCTTCTTCTCTTTTCTTTGCTGAACTTGAAGATGTGTCCACAAACACACCTTCACTCCCACTTGGACACTCTTCCAAGTGCTCAAAGGTACTCTTATGATCCAAAAACTCTACATCACGACTTTTGATGATCTTCTTGGTTTCTAAATACATTAGCCTATATGCTTGGGTACCTTCACAATATCTAACAAATACACATTTTGTACCTTTTGCGTCAAGTTTGGACCTCATACAATCTGGTATCTTTGCATAAGCAATGCATCCAAAAATCCTCATGTGTGAAACACAAGGTTTATTCCCACTCCAAGCTTCTTGTGGAGTCATTGATGTAAGTGTACTTGTAGGGCACTTATTCCTTGTGTACACCGCATTTACCATAGCTTGCGTCCAACAATCATGCCCAAAGTTTTGTGTATAAAGCATACTCCTTGCCATCTCCTCAATGGTCCGATTTGCTCTTTCAGCAACTCCATTTTATTGTGGAGTTTAAGAAGTAGAGGTTTGTCTTACAATACCTTGAATCTTTATGAATTCATCAAAATACTTTGACATGTATTCACCTCCATTGTCCATTCTCAACACTTTGATCTTGCACTCACATTGTTTTTCTACAAGAGCCTTAAATTCCTTAAACCTTGAGAAACATTCACTTTTAGTTTTAATGATGTAAATCCACACTTTTCTTAAAAAGTCATCTAGGAATGTGACAAAGTACCTTGCTCTTCCAATTGATGGTGTCTTCATCGGTCCACAAACATCGAAGTGCACAATCTCCAATAATTTTGTTGCATATGTTGCAACTCGACTTCGAAATGAAGCCTTTTGTTGTTTGCCTTGTATACATCCTTCACAAGCAAGTGTCATGGCATTGTGACTGAATTGACCAAGATCCAAGCCACTCACCTTGGATTGGAGATCCTTCATGTATTTGGCATTCAAATGACCAAGTCGTTGATGCCAAATGCCAAACTTGTCTTGATCTTGTGAAAAATCAGTAAATATCGCCATTTCAACTCCATTCACCTTTTTACAATTGATGAAGTAGAGATTTCCATCTCTAAGGCCTTTGGCAACATGTTGGCCATCCAATGTCTTAACAAAACATCCATTCATATCAAATTGAACATTATAACCATGTGATACAAGTTTACTTAGCAAAAAGAGGTTCTTCTTCATTTTTGGAACATGTAAAACTTCCTTCAATGTCATCTTCTTGATTTGGTCCTTCACAACAATCTCCACCACAATGGAGCCAATTCCAATGGCTTGCACCATGCCATTGTCTCTCAACCACATTTTTGTTGCTGAAATTTTTTCATAAGTGTGAAATGAACACTTGTATAGTATCATGTGCTTAGTAGCATCTGAATCTATAATCCACTTCGAAATAGCAGCCATGGAGGCTCCTTTCCTTGCCATGAAAGCATACTCATCTCTACCAAAACTATCACTAACATTGTTTGCATTCTCTCTATCTCCTTTCTTGGCCTTGTAGCAATTTCTAACAAAATGACCTAGTTTTTTATAAATATAGCAATTCTTCATATTATTTTTTGAATTATCACATTGATGAGAATAGCTACTTTTGCCTTGTCTTGAAAATAGAACTGAATCATCACTTGCAAGCTTCTTTTCTTTCTGCTTAGTCACTTCATAGGCAAGTCTTGATGTGACATAGTTCATGGTAAGCTCCTTCATGTTGATGGACTCTAATGCCATAATGAGGTAGTTATAGGATTCGGGAAGGCTGATGAGCAATGTCAACACAATGTCCTTATCATCAACTAGTTTGTCAACAACTGCTAATTGGTTAGCAAGTGCTTTTACCTTGTTAACATAAGCCATGAGGTCATCTCTTTCTTCCATCTTTACTGTCAAGAACTTCCTCCTTGTCCAAAGGATATTGGCAAGGTTTCTACTCTCATAGATGTTGTAAAGAGTCTTCTATGCTTTTGTTGGTCCATTGCAAGCTATAACATGTGAAAAGTTGGCATCATCAAGGTTTATTGCAATCATCTCAAAAGCCTTCCTTTCACGATGTTTGTATTCCTTCTTCATCTTGATATCAACATTGTCACTTGGAGGGTCTTCACTTTCATCAATAATATCCCAAAGGTCCAATGAAGCCAACAAAAATTTCATTTTCTTCTTCCAATGGTAAAAGTTGTAACCTCTAAACTTTTCAATTACTCTCAAGCTCTCACCTTCACTTGAAGCCATGTCTAGGAAAAAGATGTGTGAAAAAAAATCAAGAAAAGAGAAGATAGAACTCTCAAAATCAACAAGAAGGTGTTGCTGTCTTAGAAAACCAAAATGTCCTCTTTGTAATTATACAAGTGATTTCACTCTTGTATCACTCTCAACTTCACATATAAGACTTCTCACAAGTCTTATATTCTATCTTAACCTCTTGTATAAGCTTTGCCACTCTTCAATCACCCCTCTAACTACACAAAATACTTCTTATAATAATAAGAGAATCTCTTATGAAGTTAAGTATATGAAAGCACAAAGTTAGAGCACCAATAATGAAAGTCATCAAAGAAATATAATACTCAAGTTCTAAAACATCATTAAATGGAGTCTAATAATAATCAAGACTATCAATGCACTTAACAATAAGTAAGAGCAAAAACTACATCAACAACTAGATGCATAAGAAGGGTTAGAAGAAAGCAAACTCAAACTTTAGCAATAACCACAAGATCTATTCCTCATAACAAGAAAGACTTCAAAGTACTTCAAAACTCACAAGTAAAGGTGAGTGGGCCCATAACCTATTGAAGATCAAGCACTTTGAAGATACAATACTTAGCATTAGCAAGGTTGCATACAAAGAGAGTATGGAATAAGATGTCTCTCACTTCCTATACCCATTACTTATAGATAGTGGTTGTTGCCCTAAAAGACAACTTCTACTCTTTGACTTTTACACACATGGCCCTAGGATCCTTTTGGCATCTCATGAGCCTCGAGGGTATCCTATGACATATACTAACGACTCTTACTTAGTTTTTGGATATTTCCTTGTTAATACTTTATCCTTTTGACTTTGACTCTTGCTCCATAACTTCGTCCTATATCTATTGGATGTCCTTATCATATACCAAGAGTCAAATCTTTGATCACTAGCAACTTACTTAAGTTGATATCTTCTATAAAGTAACTTATTCTATTTTTACTTTAACAATGTTTGAAGTGTTTTTTAAATTAATTAATATGTGTTAGTATATATATATGTGAATATATGTGTATATACACATATATTGCAAACATGACATTTGAATAACTTAGCATCCACTTTCTGTATTGGTTACATTCATACCACAAGATTGTATTTGCATAAAATCAACTAAATGATGTTAAAATTCAAAAACAAAAATAAAAATAAAAAATAACCAACAATTTTTTAAGAGCATTCACCTAAAAAGGAACAAATCAATTCATTTTCAAAAATATTCTTCAAAAGACTAATCATTTTAATATTTATCTCTTTTGGATTCATATTTAAATAACAACCTTGCACAATAGCTTTGAACAAGTATCATTTTTACTAGTGAAATCATAAATATTCAGAATAATTTGTTTACTTTCTGTACCAAAAGATAATAATTTTTAAATTTATTCTGCATCTGTTATACGAAGACTGGAAAATTGGGTTTATATTTGTACGTGTGTATAATTTAACAAAATTTCAACAATCCCCACTCAAACCAGAAACAATTCTGGATGAACAAACAGAGCGTCTTTTCAATGTTGAAGAAAAGACAATAATGAGTTAACCCACCAAAATAGTCCACACTTGAAAGGCTTGAATAAGTGAACCATTTAGGGAGAGATCGTACTCTAGAAACCGACTCAGCTTTCAAAGATGTGATGGTAGTTGAGTTGTGTACATTGCATGGGTCAAGTTTCTAGGTCATAATCCACACATTGAAACAGAAATTCCATCCTCATCCATTGTGCATGAATGAAACATCTTGAGAATTAGCTTGTTGACATGGGCTCGACAGTACGAGAGCCTTGTGCTTTTAGTGTATGACAATTCTTTTTTGTGGGGCTGAGGTGTGGTATACATCGTCAAGTTAGAGCCATTTTTCAAGATTTATGGATTATTTCTCCTTAATAGAGTTGAACGATGAGATCAAACGACATGCTGAGCGCCGAAGTTTCACAAATTGTTCACCCTACACACTCCAACATCTGGTGGTCAAAGATCTCAAAACCCTGCCCGTCCAGAAGCTTGAACGATGCAAAAAAATGAATAACTTTGTAGATCAAGAAGAAAAACCTCAGGTTAAGAGCAAGGATTGAGATGTTGGAGTGCCCGTATGCATTGTGATGGAAACCTGTTCTGAAAAGACATGGGACATCGTCATCTGTTGCCTTTCATGATATGATGGTAATCAATTAACGAATCTACTGATTTCGCAAGGATCATCATCTGCAAGCTTGAAAAGTTGCCTTGGCGGATTACCTGTTGCAATCCAAACAGCCCACTCAATCTTGGTTTTAACGCGCTGATCCTTTAGAGCTGCAGAAGTTGGTCCAAGACACCTTCCGATTAGTGAATCAGCGGAGGTGAACCCGCACATGAAGATACAGACGGCCAAATATGTCCTGCACAAATCCCCAGGTACTTAGTTTCGTACTGAGCAGTTTTTACGTTGAGGGTCCAGTGGTACTCAACATCCCTTGTGTATCAAAGCTTTTCAAATTGAGATGGCATACCAGAAACAGGCTAATAGACAGAACAAGAATACTACCACACACTAGAAGCCAGGTTAAAATAAATAAAGAAGCTGCAGACCTTGTACAGAACCTTGAGCTCGTTTGGTAGAGCTGATGAGATCAGGACGTTGATTAGGTTAGCCAATCAGCAACCTTCGGACAGTCAATCAGACCTTCTACACAACCTTGACCTCATCAACTTTCATGTTGCCTTAATGCTCTTAAACCTGAAGTTATCTATTACTAAATCTCAACAACCAGTATTGCCTCTGTTACATGTACAAACCTATACACTGCCAACTTACGGTAGCCTGTGATCTGCGATGTACAGCCCAAAAAGGAATATACCAGTACGAAAAGCATCCACCCACTTTGTACTTAAAACCCTTGACCATCTTGTGGGTGCCATTTGTATAAAGCTACCAGAGATAATTGCCGAAGAGAGGGAGAAAGAGAGGGCATGACACCTCATTAAAAGTGATGAGCGGTCAAATATTCATTCCGCGCATTTGAGCTGCTTCGCGAATAAAAAGCAAACTAATAAGTGATGGACCAGACCCCTCTTCTCTTCAGCAAAGCCAGCAGCACTACAGATCGATTGGAACCAGGTGGCTTGATGGTTTAATCAAAGATACCACTGAATGAAGACAAACCTCATTACGATTCAGCACTAAATATTGCTTCAGCATGCCGCTGTGCTGTGGCTGAACCTTCTAAGAAGTACTCGTCTTCAGATTCCAAGCTTTCTTGAGGTTGCAAATGGGAATCATGGTCCCAAAATGTTTTAGCATTTATTCCCTCCCAATCCATAGGATGACCAGCGTCAATACCAAGTGGTAAGGTAATAAACGGCAAATCCCCATCGTCCACTGAGATTCCATTGCTGAAAACCCGCGGACTGGTCAAAGAAATGTTCTTGTTATAAAAAAGTTCTGTTCGGCCAGTTGAGTAAATTGCAGAATTGTCCATAAACCCACCTATGCCATCGAAAGAGTGTAAGTCTAGAAGACCCAGACCCGAAAGATCGTCAGCACCATTTGATGATCCAATCTCGTAGGCATTTGTACAATATTCAGAGTTATCAGCATTATCCTTTTTAGGCTTTTTCCATCGCTTCGTAGATGAGGTTCCATCATCCTCTCTCTCTGTATGAAGATACACCCACAGCTTGCGATCACCATCAAATCGAACACATGGGTCTCGCTCATAATGCAACCGGTCAAGTGCTCCACTTACTATCTGATTCACCTGTCGACACAATACCGAGCAAATATATTGTACCATTCTGAATAACCTGACATAGAACATGGCCAAATGTTGAAAATAGTAAAATTTGAAAATCGTATAATTGAAATGTAAAACAAAATAAAGCGTGCATGTGTGAAGCTCTGATATAATGGTCATATGGGTTATGAACATACAAAAAGACATTCAATCAGCCACAAATTATGCAACTTAAGTCAAGACTTATATATATATATATATATATATATATATATATATATATGTGTGTGTGTGATAGTTTATGTGTTTGTTGATAATACAGCTAACCTGAGCATCTGACGCATCCTCCATAATAAACTGTGAGTCACGAATAAGAGCACAAACATCGGCACGAGTGCCAATACTTCCAGGTAGACGAGCTGCTGCATCCCTCACTAGACACAAAATCGTCACGTGGGACGGTCTGTCCGGCTTGAGCATGAAGTGATCCCTTGCCTTAGAGGAAGGTTTCCCACCTCCTCTTCTTAGTGGGGCGACAACAGATTTACCTCCATCTGCTGTCGTATAAGCAAAAGTCCGATCAGGTAGAGAATATCGAAGTAGCTCCTGTCGGCGAAAGTAAGTTCGCATATCCACCGAACTAGGTGCAATTGTCATGAAACTCTTTTGAGCTCCAAGTTCTCGAAAACGCTCCTTCTCGTCAGCAGGCACAGGCATGAGTGGAGGAGGTGGAAGAGGAAGTTTATCGATCTGCTGAAGTGTTTCCTGACCATGCTTTAGCCAACTTGCAAACATGTCCTCCAATTTAAGCAAAGATTTCTGTGGTATACCCCATGCATCTGCAGTCACGAGCACCTCTAACACATCCTGTAGCGAAGTAATCAAGGAAAACCAGCCAAATTGTACGAACACAACTAGGAAGACGCCAACCATATATAAAGCAAACTTCTAATCCAGAGAAAATCCTTGCTCCTCATGGAATAAGTAATGAAAAAAGTAAAAAAGTAAAAAAGTAAAAGTAAAAGCATCCAAATGAAAAACTTAATCAACCAACCATATAAGCACATTCTTGCCTCCTCACAAGAAAACCGACCACCATCTAATACAAACGAGTCTAGTGTTATAACTATACAAATGGGTAAAAATAGCAACACATTGATAATGACCACAAATTGGAATACAAAGATAAGAATCAAGAACAAACCTGCGAGGAAGTTGAAGCTACAGGAATTGGAGGCGGTCCGATCCACGACCATATCCTCGATCCTTTGTGGAAACAAACCAAAGGCTTCCATCCTTTCGTACCTGCGGGTGCTACTTTGCTTCCCATTATTTTAAGATCTCCTCGCACAAGATCCTGATGTTGCAAAAACAAAGTTACACATGATGTACACATTCAAAATAAACATGAGCTCCTAGCACCAAACCATCCAAAGAGGCACATATTTGATGAGCAGATGCTGTAGGGATAGACACATTGAGGCAATTAAAAAGGCAGATCAATTACCCGTAAGCCCGTGCATACTAGCAGCACCTCTCTCTATATAAAACATCAATTAAATACTCTGAGAACTGCAAAGGACGTTCTCTGAACAAAGTATGCTACAAGTACGCCTATTGCAAAACCACATACCTGTTAAGGCTCCACTGCATCTAAAATCCGATGATCACCAGGATTGTCATGCACTCTTCTCACGAGCTCGTTGAGTGGCACTCCACGAAATAAGTGAGGTGTTTGTTCGCTGTCTCCGTCCTTACTTTTTGCCATCTTCAAACCCGAAGCTCCGGCAGCTTGATCACTGTGACCTATCATGCTTCCCTCAGACGTAGCACACGGAAGGGTAAAATCTAATATTTCAAGGGCATAGGGTGTTCTCTTGTATTGGTCATGAGATTCAGATGTTCCATCCACACAATTTGCGATCAACGCCGTGCGTACAGCTGACAGCAAGTGCATAATGGAGAAAGGGAATGTGGAAGCAAGTGTAGGGATGGCCAAAGAGGCAGGTTTCTTTGATGATTTAGAGGCACTTTCAGGAGTCTTCTCAGGAGGGGAGCCTAGAAAATAAGGATATTGATGTTAGACGTCAATTTCACATCAACGGCTTATTAAGTTCCATCGAAAAAGCATTTTTGCACACATACAAATTGTAATGCTCAAAACTCAGTAACAAGTGCATGATTCAGGCTCGAAGGCCGTTCAGTAAGTTGATGAACATAAACACAGGAATATAAACGTCTGTGTTACCATGTTTCAGGATCCACTACGGCACAAGACCTATCCCTTGAAACTAGGGTCACTTAGCCCCGGATAGAGTGGTTTTGTATAAGAAGTTGCAGAATATAGGTTAAATTTACCAGCATGAGGGGACGACACCCCAGGTGAATCCATCAACACATCCGCCTTGGGCTTCTTCTTAGTCCTCCTTTTCGGTTTAACTCCTACCTCTTCCTTGACCTGGTCAACTTCATCTTCTTCCAGAGGAAGATGGTAAACCTTCTCATCAACTTCATCGCTAGGCCTGAAATCATCTTCTACAGCCCGATTCTCCTCTACAACAATTACTTCTGGCTCTTTAGTAATCTCATCTATTCTTTTCTTCCGATAAACATTCTTCTTCAGTTCTCCCAATCTCTTGCTTTTCTCCACGGATGGCTTAGCATCCTCAAAAGGTGATAATATGTCTGCAAGCGTTTCGGGCATTCCTGAAAGCGCATGCTGCTCCTTCACCTCCCGTGCTTGGATCTTCTTATTTTTCTTCACGATTGCTTCGCCTTCTGTGGTCCCGCCTCCAGAATCTGTCATTTTGCGTTTTTTTTCACCTGGTAACTTGTGTTTCATTTTCTTCTCAACAGGGGTTTCATGTGGCGGGGCATAGAGTTGCAGAGGAGAGGTAAATACCTCTGTTGCATAAGGCAGGAAAGGCTCTTCCTCGTATTCATGCGCTACCACGTCATTCACTTCTTCCCTGTAGATTTCAGACACTGGCGACTTTCCTTTCGCGGCAACAGATGAAGTTTCCCTCCATGCCTGCTTACCCTCAGGCATCAGCTTCAATACTCCTTTTGGTCTGGGTTTAAGGACCCGCATAGGTTCTTCCTGCTCCACTCTATCCGCCTTGTCAATGTCAAATATTCTCTCCGAAGGACCTTCTGAGCGATCCTTCATTAATGACTTCATCTTAAGCACTCCCTTTGACCCAGCAGCTGGCTCCACGACACCTGGTGTTTTCTTCGAGAGTGCCACCATTCCTACCTCACTTCTGCCCTTTATCACAGGCATTTCTTTTCTTGGCGGCTCGATACCGTTCATCCTCAGACTCACGTCTGGAATCCTTCTCTGAGAACCAACCTCAACGCTGGCCTTGACCCTTCTGACAGTTCCAGGCTTACGGACCACACGTTTAGGTTTAGGCAGAGGAAGTGGTTGTGTTTGAAACCTATCCCAAATTTCTAACCTCTCATCAATATCTGCATCAGGACAGTTTTCCCATTGCTTTTGCATCTCAACAAAGAGACTGACAAAGTGATTATGATAATGTCTCAATAAGTGATAATGCTCCTTTCGCTGCAAGTATTTTAGACCCTCCCGATACCGTGAAACACGCGGATGACATAAGCCTCCTTTCAATCTCTCAAAAAGATCATCTATCGGACTAGTGAAGTGAAAGATTTCTCCTCCCAGCAAGTCCCGGATGGTGTCTTTAAAAGTGTCTTCATCTTCGATAGGTGGGAGGTGCAATGCAAGTGACTCTCGCTCCTCCTCTGTCGAACCAAACGATGCTCAATTCTCAATTCACCATGACATAAACGTTTCAGATTAATCATATGAATTGACATAGAAAGAACATCTAAAAAATGCAACCACAAACTCAAATCAAACCTAGAGTATGAAAAACAGCAAAAATATTTCAAACTGCATTTAGCGCCGGATTGAGCGTGCCATCAAGCCTTCGCACACTGATCACAATCGACCAAAAATCTTCAAAGCAGACACAAAAATACTATCCCAACTTCAAAATACACAAACTCGATTCGAGATTTTCTACAGCACCGGCAATCAACAACCATACTCACAGCTAACACAAGATTAAAATGCGATAATTATTCAAAACATCGAACAAAACAAAACAAAACAAAACAAAAAAATAAAAATAAAATAAAAAACGTGGCCAAATTTGAACCTGTTAAGCAATAATTCCACGTATTTAGCGAAAGCACGCCTTTCAAGCTCGGAAGATCAAACAACTGCGACGGCACGGTACATGTATCACTGCCAATTTGGCACATCTCGCTCCCTCTCTCCGTGACTTCATCCTCAGAGCCTTCGGACTCTGCACCACCACCTCCTCCACCTCGTACATTTCGGTGACGCGGACGCGCAGGCGGATTATCATCGGTAGAAGAACCCGACATGGTGGCCCCCCGGCCGGTTCGAGACGCACTCCCGACCAGGACCATCTCTGTAGCCCCTGCAGCAATCCTCCTCGTCCTCCTCTTCTTCTTCTTCTTCTTCCTCCTCCTCCTCCTAGCCTTCGTCCTCTCCCCAATTTTCTCGATGCACTAAGAGCCCTCTTCCCCACCATCCCAGACACCTTCACCAGCCATGCCAACCTTCATTCTCCCTGATTCGCAGCTCCTTAAACGAGAACAACACCGAATTACAACAAACGTGACAAGAGTGTGTGCTTGTCCTCATCCCGGTGTAAGGGAGCCAAGCGCGCGCGAGCGAGGCGCGGCGTGCAGCGGGAGCAAGGCATAGCCTCGAAGCTCCATAGCCACGGTGATGTCCCGGTTTCCTCTGCCACGATTATGGGTGCCCTTTGTCCCTGCGTAACCCTAACACATCCTCCGCGCTCCAGTTCCCATGTCCCCCTGCCCCGCTGTGTTCATGTCCCTCCCCCTCCCAAGTCTCATGTCCCTCATGGCTTATGTTCCTCCCCTTCACTCTACGGCCCTTATCCACACCATCCCAAATACGTACGTATAAATAGAAGTCTACATGTATGATGCGACTTATAATATTATTTTTTGAGTGTTTTTTTGTATTATTAAATTATGATATAAAATTATTATTATTATTATTATTATTATGTGTACAATTTAAAGAATATAAGAATGATATAAGCATAATAATCTTATGTTGAATCAGCTCACTTACATCCCCATAATATTCTTAGTTATGATTTTAGTGTACATATGGTAATTACATGAGATTGAATATCTAATAAATAGGTATGTTACATCTGTAAACTAGTCGCATTATATTATTTATCACTTGAGGATTATTGCATTTTTCATGGAGTTTGATAATTTTGGAATAACAAGAGACAAAGTGTATGTGTGTGTGTGTATGTATATATCTATATATATAGAAGATAATGTTTCAATTGATAGAAGATAAGTAAGTCAAATATAATGGATTGCTTACATCCTTCATAGATGTCATCTTTTTTGATCTCTCAAACAAAACTTAGTATTCCTTTCACTTATTAATTTATATCCAGGTATCTGAGACTTTTAGCACTACCAGAAACGATTCTTCATGATTGATTCTTCATTGTTTTTCGAATCATTTAATTGATTTAATTTATTGTAAAGTTATCAAAGGAGAAAGTTATGTCAATTCAAAGTGTTTTGATGAGACTAAAAAAAGTGTATCTTAAACAGGTAGCTGTCCTTAAGAGCTGTCATTCAAAAAAATTGACTTCCATCAACTAGGTTTTGTTGTGTGGGCACCCACAAATTCAAAAGAAAAAAACACAAAACAAAACGAAACAAAAAAGAAAAAGAAAAAGATGCCATTGCCTGAAAACAAAGCAAGAGAAGAGGATGCTTAAATGGTACCTACTCAGTACCCACACAAGAAGATTTTTCTCATATAATGAGAAGCTCAAATACTCTTTGAAGAGAACAAAGATGAAAAAAACTTAATGCCATGCTCTGGATCAAAAGATCAAATACCAATCAAGGCCTAATGCCTCTTATGACGACTGCAAAACCTCCTGTAGATCGGCTTCTTTGAATTGGATGACATCGTTACAAAACTCACACCTGACTTCTACAGAACCTGCACACACCAGAACAAACAAGCAGAATTTAGTAGACACAACTTAACTTGTTGATACATACCCAGAAATGCTCGTGTTTAACAAAACCGTATACTACTAGAATGGTCTCTACCACTATCAACAATAACTCGATCATCGGGTGTGGAAACTCCAGGATCAATCTCGAACGTGAAGATAATGTTAATCAGTGCAAGACTCCACTTCCAGGGAAACCCTGCAGTGCCTTCTAGGTGCAATTTCTGGTAACCGATGTACTTTGTCAGAAATAGTAGAAACAAGGAGCTACAGAAATACAGGGTGTCACACACCTTGCTCATCTAAAATCTGCTGAACGTCGGCGGGCCCCAACATTGCCACAGCACGCATCATGCGTGGTTTCAGCCGCTCAGTTCCACAAGGTCCATATGTGGGAATTATCTGTTACGACCAACTCAACACGTGTAAGCTCATATAGCAAAGAGTGTGATTAACGAGAAAATCAGTTACATCCGATTAATTTACGCAACAGCAAGCACAATTGTAGGGTCGTACCGAAATAATGCTGAGATACAAGCATACTTTCATACATCGTGTTTGATCAAGTTACGCTGAGAACAGCTGATATCTTAAAGACAGTGACCATTGAAGCTAACTCAAATGATGAATATTAAAATGTCCAAGTTCAGCGAGTTGCCCAACTATCCAAATATTGACTCCATTGAACCACCAATTACTGACAAATAAGGGCAAGAAACAAACCAACAAACACCATGGTCGTTCGAGAAGACACTGGGATGGTACAAATGAAGGAGATGACTTACTGCTTCATTGTAGCTACCAACACCAACACCATCAAGTAATGCGTCTACAATGTCAGATACCTTGCAATCGCTTGGAGCATCTGATATAGGTCTCATCTTCAAGATATTTTCTTCAAGTTTAGCTAATGTCTCCTCTGAGCAAAATGGCAAAATCTGCATTATTGATTAGAAAGGCATTATCAAAATACTTATTAGAATAAAGGGATAGCGCTTGAATCAAGTGAATTCTTCCTCATAATCTATAACATCCAAAATACTCAAAACGGAGGAAATATTAAGCTCAGAATTACCAAAGTCATGCTAATTTTTTGTCTCACGCTCTTCTTTATTGAATAGAATAAAGTGTTAAAACATATTCAGGAAACTAGAACCCTTGATCTCTGTTTTAATCCTACAGCTCGCACATGCAAGCAACATGATGCTAATGCATGCACACCAGTATCACACAAACAAAATGATGGTCAACTCTTCAACTTTGACGCAGTAATTGACGATGCACTAGACGCGAAGAGATTATGTTGGAGCTATTCGAAAACAGCGTATTGAAATCTTTTACTAAGTATGACAAGAAAGTCCAAGCTTACCTGAACTAAAAATCCTCCGGCAAATCTAATGCCTATTTCCCTGTCAAGCCCAACGCCTAGTCCCATCGCAGTGTCCATCTACATAAAGGAAATAAAAGCGTTGCAATGTAGCAAATATACTGAAATTACTTCGAGTTCAAGTCACGTATAAGGAATTTTCCAAATATTCTAGTTTAAATATTGATTATGAAGTTGCATGAGCCCGAAATGCCAAATTACATCCAATTGACAGTCCTGGCTAGACAAACCCTGTGCACACTTCTAGATTAAACGCACAGCATAAACCACCAAATGAAAGACTAAAAAGTCAAGTTAAATCACAGTTCCACTGGGCATCTTGTGCACGAAGTGTTTCACATTTCATTCAACAGTATGCAAGTTTAGTATGAAAGTAAGACTCTAGACAAAACACGTGTTACCTAGAACCACGAAATTACAAAAATAATTGCACTTAATATTGTAGTTTAAGCATCATTTGTCGACTTTATGAATAGTTCACTAGGATATTATGTGTGCATTTTCAGGTTGACTTTGTAAACGACAAATGTTGGTGACACTTAGATGATGATCCGTAACCCAAAGAAGAATTCTAGAGTATTTATATGGTAAGTAACCTGTTCACTATCTGCTAGATAGTGTGCTATATCTTCAGCAACTTCACCAGAATAAATAGGCACTGTCCCTCTGCAACCAAGCACAAGGCTGAGACATTTAGCCGATGACAATTGCTTTTGTAACCCCACACTGGTGATGTTGCAACAGATTAGATAAATTCGACTTTTCAGTCAATCTTGTACCACTATTAATTCGGTGAAAAATACCTTCACACGCAAATTGTCTGATTCCAGCAAAACTCAAAGCACGGGCATCTCTAGAATGCGAATTTCTGCGTTTAGAAACAACTAGAATCTCCAAAACCTAGAAGACGAACTACAGGTTGAAGCAGATGCCTGGTATGAACTTTACGTATAAGGTTGCTTCCAATTGCGGTTATTGCGCACAATGCTAAGCACACCAGATCCAACCGCCAAGCCTACGTCGAGCTGCAAATAGAACCACCCGAACGAAGCAAATTAATCGTTCATACGAAGAGGGTGCAACGAAACAGAGAATGGTAAATCGACTCGTTTAGTTTAAATTTGGTTTGATCTTCATAATTTAGTGGTCAGAGACACGGACTTCACAGAGCATCGTAACTTGTGCACTTGCGCATTTCTGGCAGTAACTACAACAATTTGTTACTATTATTCATTAAAAAAATATGATGCAGATATATGAAGTTGTACCTTGCCATTATCCTTGTAAGGAGGATCGCACAAAGGATTGCCAACAAAACCTTTTACATAACCTCCCTCAGAGGATATTGCAGTCATCTGTCCTAGTGGACCATCTCCTAAGAAGAGCGCCTGTAACATGATAGTCCAATGACAAAAATGTGCAGTGAGATCCAGAAACAAGTTCTTAAGTACATGTGAGTATGATAATGAGTAACAATATCATACCAGCTCCATAAAATTTTCACTAACCGAGATGAAATGCATATATCATACACTCGTAACCAATTCAAGTCAATCGGTTGGGTCCCCGTACCTGAACAGTTTCTGCATCGGCTTTGAGTGCTCCAAGGAGGAGAGTACCCATCAGCGCACGACCTAACGCTACAGATGCCTTCCCTTAGAACACCATATTCCCAATCAATCTCCGAAGAAATGTAATGAACTTTAACACAAACTTCTAATAAAACAAGAAGAATCCATTGACGATAAATGTAGGCGATGCATCTAACAGTCGCATTTGAAAATGCGAATGAGGTGATGATTGTACAGAAATGCACGATGATTGACCTCAAGGAAAGGTCACAACAAGTCATACGCTTTCATGAAACGAGTCCCAATACTACACAAACCTAAAATTGAAGCAGTGCCAAGTACAGAATCTTTCATCTGAGATACGTCTAAATCTGTCCCTTATTTTGCAAAGTAGTCTCCACATTTAGAGATATGAGGAGCAACACAGAATAGAGAACAGTGAGGTTTCTACAAAATGGCACATACAGTTGGAGCAGCATTATGCCGTCGCTGAGCATCCCTCACAACTTCTGTGGCCACAAGGCACAGTACTGATACCTATCATTTCATCGCCATACCACACCAAAGCCATCACCACAAGACAATATATCTCCATCAATTGTAGTGGATGGATTTTTTTTTTAAAACTACAAACACAAAACCTCAGGGTTAGGTGCAACAGCAGGCAAACACTTATCAATTTTTGAAGCAAAACCTCAGGGTTAGGTGCAACAGCAGGCAAACACTTATCAATTTTTGAAGCAAAACCCACAGCATGTGACCAACTTCATCCGGACGTTATCCACAAAGCTCAAGTGGAAGAGCTTGCCTCAGCATCCTTAGAAATAACACGCACAAGTACATCACCACCCCCCAAAGGATCGACCTCAGCTCCAGAATCGTTTTCTGAAGCTCGGGCACGCACGTCACTGGATACCGAATTTCGGCCTTTTAAAACTGGAACTGGCTGCAAACTTGACAGTCGACATCCACTTCGTTCCCATCTAAGCGACTCAAATTCAGCAAAACTACCCCTTCTGAATTGCACCCCGAAGTTCCTAGAAGTTAAAGAAGTGCCACCAAAAACTCTTCGCAAATCCTCTGTCCTTGCGTCTGCAAATTATCACAAAATTTCACTTGAGACCTGGAAAATGTACTTGCGGCAAACCACAAATTGTCAAATTCCATTCACGCCAACTCTCTTCTGCCGGCATTCGACAATTCACGAGAGGGATAGGCGCAATGCGTCACATTCTAAATTAATCAATCCTCCTTCGTTCTGAATCCCAACTCTAACTACCCCTTGTCTAGCCGAAACCACACACACGCCCACAGATAAGCAAGCTGCCCAAAATTCAAATTCGAGATATGAAGAAGACAAACATGAAAGAAGACTGGTGAAGTGCGAGAGCGCCGCGGTAGACATTGCGGCAAAGGAATGCAAAATCCTGATGGACTCTGCAACACCACCACAACACTGAAGAACGAAAAAAAAGCAAAAAAACGAAAAAAATAAAATAAAAAACAAATAACGATTTAAATCGAATAGAATACATGCTCCTCCTCACGACCAGCCAATCCACCTCCGAGCTGCAATGATAATTGTCGACGAGGTTCCAGGTTTGGAAAGAGGAGCCTAAAGCCGTTTCCGATTAGATCTGCCACCCCGCAAGGCCCCCTTCGATGACCGCTGACGATACCTCCCAGCGTTAAGCGCCATACACAACAAGAATGAAGAGTACCCAGAAAATTCCCTCGTGATTGAGCCGGAGAGCTTTGATGTGGCGGAGGAGTGCGTCTGCGTGGGTGAAAATTGTAAACGTGCTCGTAATCAGGGACTTCGAGGCGTTTGACAGTTGGGTCTAAAGCAAAGCATCGTTTCCAGTTATGAAATATCCCAATCCACCCTTTACGCCACACAAGTTCGAAAGTGCCTGCATTCGTCCACGACGTGTGCAGGAGTATATAAGGAACCTTGTTGTTTAGAAATCGTCGTTAGATTCCGTACTGGCGGCGGTGGATATCCTCGTTGGTACCGCTTCCTAGCCCCTACTCGATGCTTTACTGCAATACTTCATTTCTTGAGGTCCTCGCTGAATTTCGCCTCTCTTTGCAGTTCCGTCACCTTTTGAGATTATGAGCAATGTTTCATAGTTATTTGCTTGGTGTTTCAATAAGAATGGGCAGTAGATCTGGCTTCGACTTTTGCCGCTTTTGATTGAGTCTGTCTTAAGAACTGTCATGTGTGTGTATCAGGAGAACAATTCAACTGTCTTCGTAGATAAAGGCGGGAGGAATTTGACCTAGAAACTTCAATTTCAGCCATCCGCTCATTTATCTTGTTCCCTTGCTCGTACTGCAGTATTGACATTCCGAGAATTGTGTTTTCTGGAGGCCCGTTTAGACAAACTACAAATATGGAAATCAATGCTTCAGTAAAAGCGAGCAGTTTGCGTCGATCTATTTCTTTCTGTAATGGAAAACCTAGCTCTGGTTTCGCATCATTTAAGCTGTTGAGGTCCTCTTTGTTTCGTTCCAATACGTCATATTCTTTCTTGTCCTCCGTCTTCAGTTGTTCAGGTTCGCGACCACGAACGCCAATGTACGCGACACAAAAGTCAGAATCAAAAAATGAAGAGGCTGGGTAGAGCTTGAGAGAGGAGTACTCTGGACGACAGAGCCCTGAAGAGGTGAGATACCCTTTCAGCGGAGAACATTTGTTCCCTACTTTTTGATAGAGGTTTAATTTTTCTCTAAGATCTTGTATGATCTTTAGCATCTGAGCTTCACCTCACAAACCACTCTCACGAGTAGCGTCCTCCATGGCAGGTCCGGAAAGAGATTATTAATTGTTACAAGCTTGTAGAGAAGCTGGGGCGTGGAGCAGTGTATTTTGGATCAGCGCGCACGAAAATTGACCACTCCCATTACTTGCAGGCCAAGGAGCTCGCGCATGATGTAAGTCGCAATCTGACTTCGCTACAAGCGTATCAAATCAGCATAAAAGAAGTCAAGATGAATAAACAATCAGTGTGGATATTCAAGCAGTGATATCGTTGTGAAGCGTCACCTATATCTTTAGATGTAAATTGCTCCTATCCACTGAACTCTTGGCCTGTGAGGATTCAGATCATTCCTTTAGTTAAGTAATGCAAGGTGCAAACGAAAGAATCTCTTTTGATAATACGTATTCAGTGCCTGTTAGTGTCTATCGTTATTCTGCTCACTTTGGACTTAATGCAGATTATGCATATTTGTTGAGTTGGTTTTATGGTCACCTATTTAGCACACAACGTCCCTTCTGTCAAAGTTGTGCTTATGCAGGTGGCTCTACTTCTCGACTGCACATCATGGACGGGAGGAGGACCAGGCATGATGGATGCGGCGACCCAAGGGGCTCTTGAAGCCAAGAAACCAGTTGGATGTTTCAATATAGCAAAAGAGGCTGGCACTTGGGTCACAAGATATGTCCACCCTTACCTTGCAACTCAAATGTATTTCACCTGTCGGTGAGATCCTCAAATACTGGTCCTTATCCCCATTCTGCATCTGGATTTTCTAGTTGATTTGTGCAACATCAATCTTAGCTCATTTGACCATGCTCTGGAGTTTTTTATTAATTATTTAATTTAATTTTTCTCTCCTTTGCAGATTCTTTACAGCGCGGAAGCATGGATTGGTTGAGGCGGGGGTGCGCAACAATGTTCCGGATCGCACGGCATTCATTTGCTTGCCAGGGGGTATGGGAACACTAGATGAGTTATTCGAAGTCGTTGCCCTCAAGCAACTCGACCGCATTGGGTCTTCCTTCCCTGTCCCATTTCTCATCCTCAACTATGACAATTTCTACACAGATCTCCTGAAGTTCTTAACAAAGTGCGAGGATTGGGGCACTGTCAGAGCAGGCGAGTTTGAAAGCATCTGCCATGTATCCACTTCCAACTTGGATGCACTGGAATACTTAGCGGATTTTTATGGCATTTCGGAACAAGATCGCCTCTTCCGTAATCGTCCTCAGAACTTATAGAAATACTTGAAGATCACATGACTGACCCACAGCACCGAAGTAACGGTACTACGGTGGGGAGCCCAATATCATCTTCCCGGGAATGTTGGCAAAGTCTGAACATAAGAAACAAAAACCTACAGAAACCTTCTTTATAACCAATCCTATGATTGATCATGTCCTGTGCTTTGGTGTAAAGAACAATTCAGACAGCATCTGTGCAATCTAGAGACGTGGTGGGAAGAAATCCTTTCAATCACAGGGGTTTTCTCAACAAAGTTGTGTGAATTCGAGTCTGCTCTGAGTCTCTGACTACGTTGACAACATTTGTCAGCTCTTTGCTTAGATCAGAGCTGGGTGGGTGCCTCAATCTGTTACCATTCATTCTAGTTTCACCTCCCCATATGCCGAACTTCAGTATTTAGTGGGAGTGTGAAGTCAGAATAAAAGGTGTCAAATACATTTAATTTATGTTGAGAATGTTTAGAAAGACACAAGAGTAATAGTAAGTCATACACACACGAGTAGTAGTAAGTCATACACACACAAGGGTTTCTAAGGAGAGAGCTTCACACACACAAAAATCTATTGATCTGGTTGTATCTCGTATACAAGAAGAGAGAAGATAAGAGGATGAACAGTACTTCTCCACTAGACTCTAAATACTGTAGCTATAGTAATTACTATAGTCTACAGTAAATATTATGGAGAGTGTCGGCTACATTTAATGATCTCAACACTCCTCCTCGCTCATCATAATATTTACATAATATAAAATTTATATAGATTTATGATCTATACTTTTCTGTGATCTTGTAAGATCAAGAATTGTTGCCTCATTAAAACCTTATCTAAGAAAACCTTATTTTATTTAAGGACAAAACCATAGATGAAGGAAAAAGAGTACAACATCATTTTCTTTAATTATTTAAAGAGCTCTTTAACTTTCATATTCAAGAAAAGTAAGTCGCCGCATACCAATGCCATAAGTAAGTCGACGATGATTGCTTAATGGGAGAGCTTTGGTGAAGAGATCAGCAAGGTTATTTGTAGATTCAATTTTCTTAATTATAAGTAGTTGATCAGTAATCAAGTCATGAGTATAACTAAAATACTTTAGATCAATATGCTTTGTCCTGTCACCTTTAATGAAACCAACTTGCATCTGTACAATACAAGCACTATTATCTTTATATAAGATAGTTGGAGAATCATCATATGAAAATCCACAAGTTGTTTGAATGAATTTATCAATTGATCGCAACCAAATACATTCTCGGGATGCTTCATGTATGGCAATAATTTCTGCATGGTTGGATGAAGTTGCAGTTATTGTTTGTTTCACTGATTTCCATGATATTGTAGCTTCATGTCTTAAAAATACATATCCTATTTGAGATTTAGCTGTTGCAATATTAGATTTATATCTTGCATCATAATATCCAACCAATTTTGGATCTGCAGATTTTGTGTAATATAATCTCAAGTCTTCAGTACCTTTTAAATAACGTAATAAATATTTGATGCCATTCCAATGTCGTAGTGTTGGACGTGCACTATGTCTTGCAAGAACACTAACTGCAAATGCAATATCTGGTCTTGTAGATGTAACTAAATACAAAAGTGCTCCAACCGTTGCGAGGTATGGATATTGGTCTCCCAATATTTTCTCCTCCTCCTCGCATGGACGGTATGGATCATGACCATCACGACCACGTCCAACCATTGGTGTGGACAATGGATAAGCATCATTCATATTAAATCTTTGCAAAATTCGTCTAATATATGTTAGTTGGTAGAGAAAAATGCTACCATCTGTAAGATGCATAATCTGAAGACCAATGCAAAAAGTTGTTTTTCCTAGCATTTTCATCTAAAATTCACATATAAGTAGGTTTGTAGCTATAATACATGCAGATGTAGTGCCCACTAGGTTAAGATCATCAACATATACAACGATGATCACAAAACCAGTTTTATTTCATTTGATAAACAAACAAGGGATTAGTGGATCACTTATAAAATTATTTTTAATCAAATAATTTCGAAGACGTTGATACCACATTTGTCCGGATTTTTTTAAACCATACAAGGCCTTACATAATTTAATACCACGATATTTTCCTGGAGCGGGTTGATTTGGAGTTCCTGTTTCTAAGCTAGGTGGAACTTTCATATAAATATTTGCATCAAGAGAACTATATAGATATGCAGTAACTACATCCATCAGATGCACCTCAACGGTGGCATGAACTGTCATTCCAATAATATATCGAAATGTAATTGAATCCATGACTGGAGAATATGTGGATTCATAATCAATGCCAAATCGTTGAGAAAATCCTTGAGCAACAAGATGAGCTTTATAGTGGGTTATTTGGCCTTGAGCATCTCGCTTGCGTATTAATATCATTTTATATCCCATAGGGCGAGATGTAAGAGTGTCTACAATCGGACCAAAGACTTTCCTCTTACGCAAAGAGGCATACTCTTCTTCAATAGCAGTTTTCTATTTTGACCAATCAGAGCGACGTATCGTCTCTTCGATGGTTTGAGGTTTATGATCATCTTCCTCGCAAGAAAGGGCTTCTATAATCATATATGCAAATGATTCATCTACCGTAATAGATGGTTTGTCCCAAATATCATCTGTAGCACAATACAGAATAGATAATTCTTTACTCAACTTGTTCTTATTCCTTCCAGTTCCAAGATTATTTTTCATATGAATTGAAGGTACATTATGCATGGATATATCATCACGAATTGGTAGTCCTACAAGATGAGTGGCAATTTCTTGAGAAATAATACCAGGATTAGTTAATTTTATAGCTTTCTTCTTACGTGGTTGCTTATCTGATCCACGAGTTCTTTTAGTTGTTGTTGTTGTAACTTGAGGTATTGTAGCCAATGGCACTGCAATCTGAGCAGGTACATTCTGAGCCTCATTAATAGGAACTCTTGTAATTCTAGGTGCATCATTGAAGCCATCAGGTGTTTCATCCGCGATCTGTTTTAAATGTAAAATCTTAGCAACTTCAGTTTCTGCCAAAGATGTTCTAGGATCGGGATTAATTGTAAATATTTCTAATGCTTCAAATATGAGTATTTTATTTCTTTGTTGATTGGATACTCCTGCTTGAAGAGTTGGGAATACAGTTTCTTCAAAACGGCAATTTTGCAAACGTGCACGTAATAATGTGCTAGTTGATGGATCAACAATACGAATAATGCTTGGTGAATCAAAACCAACATATATGCCTTCTTGTCGATGAGCTCAAATAGTACGTCATTGAAGTTCTGGTATTGAAATCCAAGCATGGCAACCAAATACTCGTAAGTGAGATACATTTAGAACACGACCCGAAATGAGCTCATGTGGTGAAACAGTTTCAAGAGAAGAAGGGCGGAGGCATATTAATGGTGCAGCATGTAAAACTGCATGACCCCACATAGATGTAGGTAGATTTGCATGAAGGAGGAGTGGCCGCGTAATGAGTTGTATACGCTTTATAAATGACTCTGCAAGTCCATTTTGAGCATGTTCATATGGAATATAAAATGTCAATTCAATTCCTGTTGCAGTACAATAGTCTTCAAAAGACTTTGATGCAAATTCTTTTGCATTATTTATACGCAATGTTTTTATAGGATAATCAAGAAAATGTGCCCGAAAGCGAATAAGCATAGATATAAGATTGGAAAATACCATGTTTTGAATTGATAATAATGAAACATGTGATTGTTTACCTGATGCATCAACAAGGACCAAAAAATAATGAAATGGTCCTGATATTGGATTAATAGGACCACAAATATCACCATGCAATCTTTCAAGCATTGGTGGTAATTCTTGTGGAAGTTTCCAAATTGAAGGTCGAGTAATCATTTTACCTTGCACACATGCACGACATAATTCCATAGAGTCTACATGTCACGGCCATAATCATGTAAGCTAATAATTACATATAGAAATAGGTAGAAGGAAGTAAAAGTAGATAAAAGTAAGTTAATTCTATAATATTTAATATAGAAGCTTCCTAGAAACTTCTTAGATGCTGCTTTGACTTCATAGGTGTCTTTAATTGACTTTTTGGATTAGAAACGTGGTCAACAAGTTGGCCATGTGCCACACATGTTGTTAGCTTGAAGATCAAGCTAACTATGTGGCCCACACATAGAAAAACTTGCCTTGTAAGTCAAGGCATGTGTCCTACAAAGTCAACACATATTGGAGGTCCTATAGAACGTCGCCACGTAGCCCCTAGTTAGATAGTATATATAGAGACAAGAGTGAAGGCTTCTTCACTCTTGTCAACTCCTTTCTTGCTTCTAGTCCAGGTTCAAGAGTCTTTAGTTTCTTGTCTTGTGGCAATAGCCATTCCAGTTTCCTTTTAATATACCTACTTGTTTATATTTTGACTCATTATATCGAGATAGCCTTTTTGTGTATATTTTTCCTCATCGAGTCTTTGTCCTTGACAGATTGACAAGAGTACACTTACAATATCAGAGCTTTGTTTTTCTTGAGTAAGAGTGGATTACCCCTTTCTCTTGACAAGACATAAGCGTATTAGAAGTTTGCGGATTATCCACTTCTAAACTGATATTGTTCTTAGTATCTTCTTTGTTATCAAGTCTTTCTTTTCTTTTGTCTTGAGCAGTATCAAACAAATTTTTTCTTCTTAGTGTCATTATGGCAGAGCTTGTTGAAATGAAGAGTGCAATGGCACAAATGCAAGAGCAAATGAGGGAGTTAATGCTTGCAATGCATCAAGTCAATTCACCAACATAGGAAAGAACAAGAATAGCAGAAAGTGAGGATATAGAGATGATCGGAGCTGCTTCAACATCTACAACAAATCACGTTCTTTCTCTAATTGTACAACACCCTGTAAGCACTAGAGAACCAAGAATTACCTTACCCGAGAAATTTGATGGTACAAGATCAAAGTTTCGAGGGTAAATCAATCAAGTACAATTGGCAATTGAACTTCAACCGCAAAGCTATCCAACTTCAGGATCACAAGTCAGGTTTATTGGCACTCTACTTTCTGGTTCTCCATTATCATAGTTTTCGTCTTTTCTTGAACAACGAAATCCAATATTGGACAATTTGGAAGCTTTTTTGGCGGAGTTTCGATCTGTGTATGGTGAACACGATGCAACTCGTGTTGCAACAAATAAGATCCGAATTCTGCGACAAGAAAATTGCTCAGTACCAATGTATGCTTCACAATTTCGACAACTTGCAATTGACATCAAGTGGGATGATGCTGCACTCATCAGTCAATTTCTTTATGGATTGCAATACGAAGTAAAGAAATTGATGCTCAACTTATCTGATCCTCAAACTTTGAATCAAGCAATCGATTTTACGGTAAAATGTGATAATCGACTTTTTGAATTTCGATCCGAGAATCATTCACGGGAACCTCAATGTTATTATTCAATGGCAACATCAACATCTTTGCCAAACGTACATTCGAAAA